GCTTCAAGCTTCTCTTTAAGGCGTGCCTGACTTTCTGCACACACGACCCAGTCGTCAGCGGAAGCAAAACCATCTACTAAGGTGTCATGGAACTGGTATCCCTGTTGGGGCATCGACAATCGAAGAACCTCATCCATTGCCATAATGGATAATAATGGAGAGATTGGGTCTACTTGCCTCCATCCTCTGTGGCAGTGAACCTCGGAACTGGGGAAAACTGTCACAACAAATTCAAAGGACTATGCGATATATCGAACAAGAGGTGACAGAGCTCCAAAGGCCTCGGCAGATCTGACGATTGTGTCATGCGAAACCGAATCGAACACTTTCGATTTATCGACAAACGCCAAGCTGAGGTTAGAAGCAGTCGCCGATGAGTGACGAAGCAGGGCATGTAACAGCGATGTGGCTTCCAAACAACCGTCTCGATGCATAAATGCAAACTGAAGTGAGAACAGTTGCAATCTTCGACTCGAGCGATCAGCAAGCACCTTATGGAAGCAACGGACAAGAATGGACGACACGGAGATCGGTCTCAGTTGATCTGGTGATGTTAGATGTGGGACTTTCGGAAATGGAGACGGGCGGGCCCGAAAAAGATGTGGAAGACAACCTCCAGATAACAAGAAAAACTTAAATATCCAGCGAGCACATTAGCATTGAACCGAGCGTCCCGGGTCTCAGTTGATCTGGTGATGTTAGATGTGGGACTTTCGGAAATGGAGTAACACGGGCCCGAAAAAGATGTGGAAGACAACCTCCAGATAACAAGAAAAACTTAAATATCCAGCGAGCACATTAGCATTGAACCGGCGGAGCGTCCCGGGTGTGAGCTGTTCCAGGCCTAGGGACGTATTCCCCATGAAACGGATCATACGACGAACTTCCTCTACCGTAATTGGCTCGCTCAAGATCCAGTCGAGTGGTGCTACCCTGCGACTTGGTCAGCTATACGCGTGCTTTCGTGCTGAGAGCACTTGTTGACAATACTCTTCGGCGTCCGTAGGTGGGCTGCAGTGTCCTTTGTGTAAATCATTCCATGACAAATAGCGTACAGCAGACGCTGCCTTTTTCCGTAATTGGCGGTGTTTCATCTGTTATGTTGACTATGAAATTCCCCACGTTTATTCTGTCCNTGCCTCGTGAGAAATGGCCTCTTGGGGGAGAAGATAGTTGTGAGATGAGCCCAGATGGCTTAGTAAGATTCCTGCATCTTTGAACTTCGTCCGACGTTCCTAAAAGAGATATTACAACGTTTTGTTTAGTGGAGGGACGCGAACAGGCTTGTACCCCATCGAAGTCGTCACTTGTGGCAGAAGTATACTTGGACCGTTTGTGTCGGTGGCTTATGGGTTACCTTAGAATGGAGCTGAGCGTAGGTAGAAGGCAAGATCCGAGGTGCCAGCTGAATCAAGGTTAAGAGAATTTGGCAGGAGTTGTATCATCTGTTATGCTGAATATGAAATTCCCCACGTTTATTCTGTCCCCATTTGTAACCCCGACCCCACTTTTGTGTTTAGTGTGTATATATGACCTGACGTTTGTTTATCCTTACCACTTCACCCATTTGGCCTTGAGGTCATCCGGCAATTTGTGTATGACTTTGCACGTGTGACCGTCGCACGTGGGTGTCCGTTTGCTCCCTTGCTTTGTAATTTTGTAGTCCCAGCGGACTGTTTGTTTTGGACGCGTACCTACCGTCGAGCTTTTCATAAACTGTGAATTTCTCTTACCCTAATATTACCATACAGAAACCTAGATTTGATTTGCCTTAGCGGAGGTTGTGGTATTACGCGTCACTCGAGGACATCGTTCGTCCTGTACAGGTGGTATGGGGCCTGTATGGCGGCGTAGTTGGCTCGGCGGATCTGCTTTCGGTTGACCGGGATCCGATGGGCTAACTGGCGCCGACGTCGGAAAACAGTTTTCCAGGTGTGTGGAAATGTCGTTAGGCGTGGAGTTCCAGAAGCGACAGGATTTGCTCCGGTGTCATGATGTCAGAATGCGACCCTCGAGCAAACACCAGGAGGTCAACACTAGGAAGCGAACGGTCAGCATGGGATTCCACGAGTGACACGGTGTAATCCACGGTTTGTTGAAACTAGACGCTGTAGTCACCGGCTTCTGATGAGTAGGCCGTCGTCTGAAGAATGGATTTCTCAGTTCACCAGATGATAATTCGTCCTGTTGTGCTTGCCGGTTTTGCACCCGTAAACTGGTTTTGATGGTGATAGCCGATCGGCCAGGAAAATACTGCTCCAGCTCGGTTTGCGTTCCAAAGGTGGATACAAATTGTTAGCCAGGAGTAAGAGCAATTGAGGCTCTTGCTGGGACCAGCGGGTACCGGAATACTCCACCCGGCCAAGCCTACCTGTATTATGCTGGGTGGCGTGTGCGTGCCGGCGGTGTAGACTCAGGCGAATCGTCGTCGGAAAAAGGCGGGAATAATCAGCGCAGGCAAATTATCGTGAACTCGATGGGGGCTACCAGGTCAGCTTTCGATTTGCAGCAATTGGAACATTCCTCACACGTGAACTCAACGAGTCCCTACTGGTTGGAACTGGTGCGGAAGCGCCAGATGATTCGTAGTATACATTGTCGAAAGTAACCAGCACATGGAAACCAAACGGGGTGGTTGGCCCTGTCTGGATTTGCTGAACACTTAGCTCACCCAGATTGACGTCCAGGCTACCCGGTAGTCACCGGGAGGAGGTGGTTCAGCTTGCCGACTACAGGCGGAGATATTGACCACTATACAACCTAAAGCAGTCATGGTACCGGAGAAAATGCACGTTGCCGGACAATCAGTACGACGTGTGCTACTGCGTACACACAATCAACCACGAACTTACTAGGTGCGATGAATTCCACGGCTTCGGCTTCGTCTGCAGGGATGACTGCTGCAACGGCAGAAAGCTTTTTGATACAAAAGTAGTGAATTGCTGCTCTTTTGGAGTTTATGTGGACGAAAACAACGAAGAGTTTCGCCTGGTACACTTTTAAAGCGACTTGAAATGTACTGAATAAGAAAAATCTTCGACGAGCTAAATTATCCAATAAATCATCCTCTGAATTCAGGTGCTCAGCCACAACATCCATTAAAATAAGAATGTCGCGGGCCTTGAATGTCGTGGGGATTGAGTAGGTTTAAAAACAACTTTCAACAAAACCGCGGCCGTTTGGGAAGATCTCGTATGCCGGAAAAATTACCATCAAATGTTAAAACTTTATGTTAAATTTTACCTCCCTCGAACCACGGTTTGAGAGAAATTTTGGGTGTGCGTCTAGCCGCCCGCCTTCTTTAATAAATGTGCAATCACCAACCAATCTACAGGTACTACACTCTGTTATAAGAGCACTTCAGATGCTGTTCATGTACGCTAATTCGAATACATACATGTTACTTGTTACGTTGCGCTATATACTGGATTTGCATTCAAGTCCTAAAGGTTCTCCCGTTCGATTTTAAGCAACTCCAACATGTTTTCCAGTACTCTCACTAAACGCATCCTGGTCCAAATGATATTCAACCACAGTGGCTCCGTGAATGTGCTTCACAATCCCCTCCAGGCACATCTCACCTGCTCCGTTTGTTCAGCTCTTCTCTATTACACGAGTACATGCCATATGTTTGGCCATTAGTCTTGGGCCGCAGTGGTGTGCCTTTCTGTCCTGAGGACATTATGTGGCACGATGATCTCAGAATCAGGCCATAAATGTACTTTTTCCCTGACTTCGTCGACCGGGAGCTCTATAAGCCACCCAATTCTCCGTTTTTGCCTCATTTGGTCACTGCAGTTTTTCCCCAAGATTCTGTTCAGTCGCCCCAGTTTGTTCCTGACGTTTGTCAACGAACGTCGGTGTTTCTGGTTAAAAGTGACACAACCATCCACAATTCCTAGTCAGCGATGACGAATCTACTTTCCCATCTTCAGTTTTTAATCTAATAGCCACTACGTTTGTTAGCGGCGGTAGACATTCAGTATGAAAGTTGCAAACGATTCTACCTAGTATAACTCGTTCGTCCACGTAAAAATCACCTTCACATAATTTTTGCGCAATAAGACATAATTGCGGGCGTTTATGCGTAGTAAAAATGATAAATATAAATCAATCATTCAGATGTTGTACCTTGCTACCCAAACCATCACGGTAGTTGAGACACTGTCCAGTTCTACACACGGGCAGGCGAAATGCCAGGGTTGGACCTGAACCACAAACACTTCGATCAGTAAGGTCGCGCTTTAACCACTGAGCTCTCTCGAGCTCTCTATAGACAATGATCTGTGATATTTGTTCTATGGTTTTCGTTGTAAATCAGAAACTTTGGTAGAGTGAGGAGCTGGACCGATGTGCGTGATTAGATTCTGTCGTTTTCGTAACACAACCATTCCGGGCCAAAAGTGACGTGTTAAGTTCCCTTTAAATTGCTTAATCTTAAGTCTCCCATTGTTGTAGGCGAAATACATCATCAACGTTCGCTAACCTGCAACCTACTGAAATAAAATCTCAATTCATATTCAGCTTGTTCCGGGAATTTGGATCGGGTCAAATATCATAATAACATATGCGGCGTTCTAGCTATCCTCGGGAGTTAGTTGATTTATCCTTGGGACTCAAATAATACCATGAATAATTTGCGCACAAATAGGACTGAACCTACTCATCATTGAAGAGGATTCTGAAACTGAGTTTAATTTTCGATAAAAACTCTTTCTGGTAGATAGAGTCCCCTGAGAAGATGCAGTTAATATGCAAATAAGAGTATCTGTATCTATCAGAAGGGTCCACTTCCTAAAGGTAACCCCACGATGATCGGAACCTACTAACGCCCTAAATCTCCACTAAAATTTGAATAGGAAAGCCGGCAAGCATCTAGGCCAGTCCATCATTCAATCAATTTAGCGAAAGCCGACGAGAGTTCTTGTGCGCCACAGAAGCGCGATTGTATGTGATTAGCGTTCGGGCATGTCAAACTAGCACGATCGATGTCGGTGGTTGTTCACTAAACGCCTATCAGGCAGCCTGTAATAATGCCAGGAAGGGTCCTTTAAAAAGCAGGGGGCATTTGCAACATCTGCACTCTCACGCGATCCCTTGTTTGAAACAGATCATTCTGTACCCTACGTGGCAATGGGCACAGGAGTTGATATAGGCGTTTTAAATAACGGTATCATTCTATTTGATTCATTCTGACATTTATCCAAAGCGGAGCGGAAGCTGTGGAGCTCCAACAGTTGGTGGCGAATACATGCTTCAAACGATCGCTTAATTCTGTGAGTAACCGAAGTAATCAGGCTTCCGCCTGAGTTAGGGATCGGTTTGATACCAGCCCCAGGCGTTTTGTATGCCGTGGAGTACCAGTGGATAGCCCGGCTGAAACACATTTCTTACGATAGAAGGAAATGTTACGACTGCTGCTCACAAAAGTTACAACACAAAAAGTTCACGATACGGGAAATCCATGCTTCCAGGCTTGCCCGTTTCCAATTCCTTGCAGTCAATAGAACAATTTACCAACTAGAGAGTTACGACGCATTTGGTGCTTGTGTTATATAGTGGTCTGCTTCCACTAGAATGGATGCTGCCTGGCTCCAAACAGCAACTAATTCACTGTAGTGTAGGGGTGTTTGTATTCAATAGATCACATTTCACATAATAACTTCTGTCGCAGTCTGTGGGTTGACAACTCTAGTGAACCGCAGAAGGATAATCCAATGCGGAGTAATTTTGTACGTTAGTCCCAACATAGACATCTGTGGAACTTGTGAATCGATTGCCACTCCGCATCTACTTGCTGGCTTTCGTTCGTCTTTGACTTATTCGCCTGCGACTTTGTATCAACCTTGTTTCAGTTGAACGTCAAATTATACGCCTATCTAATGCAACCCACAAATGTGAGACCTGTAGTGATTTGCTGAAGGTTTATCAGGAATCCTTTGGGTAGCAGGTTGTTTCAAATATAGGTGTACAGATATTTGCGCGCATCAACCGACTGGCCAACCGGCCTGTTTTGTTGATTGGCGTTTTATTGATGAGTTCCCAAGCAAGCATTCTTCCTCGCTTGGTAACAACTGTCAACAGAGAGAACAAATGCAGAAAACAGATAATTTCAAAAGACTCTTTGCCAGTCTGGTCGGTCGTGATGCCTTTACAAAGACCTCGTCTAAGAATCCGATGAGGTTTGAAGGCCTGTATGAGATTTTTTTCGAGGTTGACGGAGCTAAGCTTCAGGGGGCGTCTCCCGCACGGTTAGAGGGAGCACAAGGAACATCGAAATTTGAGCGATATATTTGCGTTGACGGGCGACAGCTGTGTCGGTCGAATGGCCTATTTTTGTTCATCCTGTGCATCTAACGTGCAATGGTGCGTCAGATTTGTGGAGGAGTCTTGATGTGTCCACAAGGACTGAGAATCACGACAGTTTTACGTAAACGCTTTCGGATTTTACCGAACGATCTCTTGATAAAAAAGCACAACCCACGTTCCGCGACAATTGCAATACACGAAACAGACCAGTTGTAATTGAATTTTATTTTGGCAAAATCACAGAACACATTGTGTGTCCTTTAGGAACAGACGTTGAAGACAAAATCGATGAGGATTTCAATCAATCTGGCCATAGAAGCGAATGACTCACCACGCATAAGAAAGGCTTAGGATTTTACATTTTGAGCACAGGTTTGTACTATTGACTTCGAATGTTATCAAATGAACATGGAAATGTAATCAGCAAAACCCGTCATCCCAGGGCGTGTCCCATCCGAATTCAATCTCTAACCCACTAATTGTGGTCGATTTCCGCCTGCTGTAATTGAATTCCTAGGGGGGTTAATACATGCCAGCAGTTGCAATATGGTTACAGCACAATGGACTGAGAAACTCAACTGAAGTGGACTGAACTATGCTGAACTAAAATAAACTGAGCTGAATTGAACTGGGCTGAGCTTAGCTGAACTGAAATGAAATGAAATGGCAAGCATTGAGCTGAACTAAATTGAACAGAAATGAACCGAACTGAACTGAACTGAACTGAGTTAAACTGAACTGAACTCAACTGAACTGAAATAAAGTGAACTGAACTGAACTCAGGCAACTTCATTCAGGTGCTGTCAATCTTGGCATATCCATATCCACAATCCAGAGAATGTGCCTGGTAAGAGGATTTTCTATCTCCACCATTCAGATGGAACCAAGAAAACAAATGCGCAACACTTGTTGTTAACAGGAGCTCTGTCAATGTTGACTGGCAGAATTGACTTTCTGGGCTAATCACTCTTAGGGAGAAACCACAGAAAGTCTCTCAGTTGCCAGGGTAACGCAAATTATTGACGAGTATCAGTCTCTTGTGCATCACATTGGAGTACATATAACATCACTAAACATTTCATGGATTTTGCTGAAGAATTGAAGCGGACCCTAAACATCATGTGCATTTTTATGCCTTGAACGCATCCAGCCAAAATCCATATTGTAACATTGGTCCGTTGCAGCTAAAGTTCATCAGGTGATAATTTCTTTACTCTTTTCAGGGTCAGTGGTAAACACCAGGTTTTTCCAGAGGGTGTACAAGGAATTCCGCGACTAATATCAATCGGTTGTCCGTTA